CCGCCCCAGCGTATCAGCTAGCATGTCCGACTCGGAGTGGCAATGGCTTGGAGGGTGGCCGAGTCAGAGGGTCAAATGAGAGCCGATGAGCTAGCCTCTCTCCATCTTGCAGAATCAATAACTGAATATTGGTAAGGCCCCACCAGTTGTAACAGCACCCCTGGTGTCAGCCAGAAGCCAACAAACAGCCAAATCCCTGCGGCCCCGCCCAGACTATCCACCGGTGGGGGAGCCGATTAACCATTAACCCCCACCCCTCCCTGGCAGAGCCTCCACCCCTTCTCCGAGGCTAGGCCCAGACTCCAGGAGATCCTCCCAGAGGACAGTCTGAAAGGCAGGAAGGCAGAGAGCGCACCTGGGAGGAGGCAGGGGGAGGGTGAAGGGCGGGGGCCGGCTTGGCCTGCAGCCTTCCGGGTGGGCATCCTGGGCAGGGCAGACGGCTGAGGAGCGGAGGGGGAGGATGCGCCTCTCCAAAACCCTGGTCGACATGGACATGGCCGACTACAGTGCCGCGCTGGACCCAGCCTACACCACTCTGGAGTTTGAGAACGTGCAGGTGCTGACGATGGGCAATGGTAGGTGGAGGCACGTCTGCCTAGGAATGCCCGTTGGCTAGGTACGCCCAGGTGTGGGGGCAGGTCTCCGGCGTTCTGTTTGGGCTGGGAGGAGAAAGATAGAGGATGGCCAGGTTGGTCCGATAGGCCAGTGCAGGTAAAGGAAATGTGCCCAGGTACAGAGACCAGAGGCATTCTGGGTCAGGGGAGGCCTGCACGAACTTATCTCCAGCAAAAAGCAGGCCCAGGAATCCCTGTCAGGCCCTTGCAGTCCCTCAAAGCCATCCTGCTCAGCGCGTCACTGGGAGCAGGGACGTGCCGGTGAGCTCCTCCTTCCCATGCAGCTCCAGTAATTGTGACCAACAGGGCCCCTTCCTGAATCCCTTGGGCCTCTGTCCAGGGAGTTGGGAAGGCACGTCCGGTCCCTGGTAGATGGAGGATCCAGAAGATTGGTGTTTCGGGTGTCTTTGAGAATTTCCTGGGCTGAATGCCCCACTTAGAGAAACTGCAGTTCTCAGGGAAGTTTTGCTAAATGAGACACCAGTCAATAGTGTGTGTGTGTGTGTGTGTGTGTGTGTGTGCGCGCGCGCGCGTGTGTGTGTGTGTGTGTGTGTGTGTGTGTGTGGTCAGGGCCTCTTCTTGGTGTGGTGTACACGCATGAGTTCCCCTGTAAGTAGGTGGGTGATGATATACTGAGTTGGCAACTGTGTGCCCATTTGTCTGTGTGCACCTGTTCTGTGCCCATTTTCATTTGTGTTTGTTCACTGCGTGGGTTTGTGTTGGTTGGTGTTTCTAGAGGTGCCTGTGTTTGTCTTATGTATATAAGCAGTGGTGAGTGTGTACATGTGTCTGTGGATGTTTGCACACATGTACGATGGATGTGGATTTGTTTGTGTGCCCTGTGTTTCCTGCATGGGCATTCTGACTCGTGCCCTGTATGTACCTGCTTGTGGATATGGGCACATCCTTGCACTGGGGGCCGGTGCTGTTTGTGGGCCACGGTTATGCAGACACGATGTGCAGGCTTTTGACATTGCCATTCACCAAGTGAGATTCTCATCAGCAACATGTCCATTTGACTTTGAGCAGATTTTGTTGCTTGTATGTGTCTCTCCATGTTTGTAATCACCGAGATCCCATCTGGTTCTCCTTCACAAGAAGGTTGGGAGAGGAAAGGGACTTGAAAACCAGGAAGTTTCTTAAAAGAAAGGTCCCTAACTGGTGGCCAGTCAGCCTCAGTGGAGAAGTGAGTGGCAGCCAGCTGAGGTCAGCCTGCCACCTGCCTTACTGCCCTGGCTCTGTGGCTTCAGCTCAGGCCTCTAAGGCTTGTGGTCAGTTTGGCTCAGCTGGAAAAAGGTGATTCCCTGCCTGTGGTCAGTGGGCACTGTCCATAGTCAGAGTTACCAACTGCTCACCTATCCCTGCCATCCACCCACTCTGTGACCTACATGTCACCTCTCCTCTCTTGGTCTCTTCTACAAAATGGGCTTAATCACCCCACGTCTGCTTGCTGGCCAGCTTTTAGGAATATCCAAGGGTCACCTGAGGAATGAGGGACAAACATGCAAGTAATGGTAAACAGGGAGCTGCTGTCCTCGGTGGGGTGCCATGTGACCCCACAAGGACAATATGTGCTGTCACACTCCTGGCCACCACCCAGCCCCAGGCTGCTCCCTGGAGCTGGTGCCATCTACCCTGCAGAGCTCATGCCTCCAGCTCCCGGGAACCCTGTGCTCCTGAGGCAGAGCCAAGCCCCTTGATTGGGTGACCTGAAGACAGGACAACTTCCAGCCCTGGAGCCAGAAAAATTAGGGCTCAGATTCTGGCATAGATTCTTTCCTGTTGCAACCTCAGTTCTTCATCTCTAAAATGGGAATAAATAATAGCACCCACCCCAGGGCTTACCAGAGGATGAAATAAGATAGGGTGCTTAATATCTTTAGCACTGGTAACTGGTCCTGGCCCCACCTGAGTCATCTCAGGAACTCCAAACGCCTGTCAGGAGGGTTTACGTTCTTTACTGGAGTTTGAAGTGGTCTTAGAGTTGAGGTTATGTTTGGCAAACATCCTGAGCTGGTAGCTCAAAGGCTCCAAGGATAGCTCCCCATCTGTCCCCATCTTGGACTAAGAACCAAAAGTTACAGGGGTTCCTTGCTTCAGAGACCATAGTAGACACCCCAACAGGGGCAACAATGGCCAGAATCACCCCTGAGCCATATATCTGGCTCCTCTACTTCCCAGGGGTGTAATGACCCTGAACTAGCCACTTGTCCTCTCTGGGCCTTGGTGTTCTCATCTGGAGAATGGGACTGATCAGCTGACCCCAGGGATGAGATTATATACTTGGCAGCACCCAGCCCATCCTGAATGTGGGCACTCCTTCCCCTAGTCTCATCCTGAATGGCCGGGAATTGTGGGGTCAGCTCTTCCCAGGGGTCTGGGGAGGCGAGGCTGAGGGAGAAAGGGCACCAGCACGGCTTAACAATTATCCCCATCTCCAGGAATAATTCACCAAGTGGAGGGGGCCGCACTCTTGGGCACCCTGGGGAGAGCAGGAGATGTTCAGCCAGGTGACGGCAGGATGAACGCAGCGGGGTCTGCTTGCACACGGAGGCTGGAAATCTTGTGCTCTGAGAGTTTTCTTCTGCAGGAAAGTCATTTCACAAATGCCGGTATAATGCTTATTCTGTGACAAGCACTTCACTGAAACACCACAACACCCTAGGGCATTTCCCTCCTATTTTAAAAATGGGGAAAGGAAGGCGAGAAGTTAATTCTGCCAAGGTCACAGGGCAAAGAGGTGGGCTACTGGAATTCTAACTGGGCAAAAGGGCTCCAGACTTTGTGGTCTTAGTACAGCGCCATGTGCCCCTCTCCAGTGCTTAACTGGTTGTTCCCTAGGAATTCAAGGTCGGCCTCAGAGTTCTATGAGAACAGTGTGTTATGACTTGGTGTGCTGTGCACATGCATGCATTCGTCGGGGGAGATGGGACCTAGTATTTATCATCTTCTCCGAGAGGTCTATCCTTGGTGGGAGATTTACTTATAAAAAGAGGGGTCGGCTACTGACTAAAAAAAAAATTTGAATATCACTCATCTAGGGGAAATGGTGAACAACATAGACTGATGAATAAGAACAGACCCAGAGATAAGGAGCCATGGGTCAGACCTCAAAAGGAGGGTGAGGATAAAAGGGAGAGATCAACCAAAGGACTTGTGTGCATACATATGAGCCTAACCAGTGGTCAAGGACAATAGGGGGGTGAGGGCATAAATGGGGAGGGGTGGGGGATTGGAATGGGGGGTTGAGGACAAATATGTGATACCTTAATCAATAAAGAAAATTTTTTTTAAAAAATTGAAAACCACTAGAACAGTAGAACTGCCCTATTTATATTTAGGGAAACCAAGGCCCAGGGGAAATTGAAGCAATGAAACAAACTTGCTTCAAGGTCACAGGCGAATTAGTGGCAACATCAGTACTAGCACCCGAGACCCCAGCATCCAATCCAAGATCTTTGTCATTTGCCTAAAAATACCCCCCCCCCTCACATTTATGTGGATGCAGTAGCTTTTGCCTCTGGGAAAAGAGGTATTTGAAGAGTGCACATTTTCTTGTCATGTCCCTCCCAGGAGGGCAAATGAGCCACAGTCCTTGGTGCATGTCTTTTCATTTCCCAGGAGAGTTGTCAGGGCCCCTGGGCACTAAGCTGAGACCCACTCACCCAAGGTCACTCAGTAAGAAATAAATGGCTGCCGGCACCGGTTTGGCTCAGTGGATAGAGCGTCAGCCTGTGGACTGAAAGGTCCCGGGTTCGATTCCGGTCAAGGGCATGTACCTTGGTTGCAGGCACATCCCCAGTAGGGGATGTACAAGACGCAGCTGGTCGATGATTCTCTCTCATCAACGTTTCTAACTCTCTATCCCTCTCTCTTCCTCTCTGTGAAAAATCAATAAAATATATTTAAAAAAAAAAAAAAGAAAAAGAAAAAAGAAAAAAGAAAGAAAGAAAGAAATGGCAAGGCCTGGTTCTGGGCAGATACTGCAGTATTTGTCTCTTCCACAGCCCTCTACGGCCAGTCAATCAGGGTCTATAAGGTTGGAAGCATTCTAGGGTGTGGCCAAGTCTTCATTCCTTCCCAGAGAAAGCTGGGCTAGTTGTCGCCATTGCAGAGGAGCAGACTCTCACAAACAACTCTGTGAAGTCACCGTCACAGTGATACCTAAGTTAGAGAAGACAAACTGGGGCTCCAAAAGGCCCAGGGGTTTGCCCAAGGTCACTGAGGGAGAGGGGACAGCATGGCCTTCTGGCTGAGGCTGGAGCCCTGAGGAGATCCCCACAACATTCATATTGGTTTGTAAATGTAAACCACCAGAAAAACAGGGCCTCCAAGAGGTAACTTTCTGCCCTTCCGAGTCCTCACTCTTTTTTTCTTCTCGTGCAGACACATCCCCATCAGAAGGTGCTAACCTCAACGCGACCAACAACCTGGGTGTCAGTGCCCTGTGCGCCATCTGTGGAGACCGGGCCACAGGCAAACACTACGGCGCCTCAAGCTGCGATGGCTGCAAGGGCTTCTTCCGGAGGAGCGTGAGAAAGAACCACATGTACTCCTGCAGGTGCGGAGCCCCCTCGGGGTCTTGGGAAATAGGCACACTTGGGCTAATGTTCCCCAGGGTCTGTCATCTCCTACTAGTTCCCAGCGGCATCTGCCCTTCAAGGTATTCAAGCCGCCTCTGGGTTCCTAGGCCTTGTGGCTTCAGATGGGAATAGCCATTCTAGGAAACTCATTCACGGATCAGAAAGTGACCGGCTGCCCTTTATGGAGCCCTTACTATATGCAGGCAACATCCTAAGCCCACACACCCACTGTTATTTCCCCCACTGAGGCTTAGGATTAAGCCTCTGAGGATGGGACCCAGCCCCCAAGCTGGTATTTTTTCTAGGGCAGATAGGAGATTGGCCCCAGGCCTTCCCAAAGCCTCAGAAATCCCTCCTTTAAAAGCATCTGCTATTCTGAGTGACAGCAATAATAAAGTAACAGCCATCGGTTAGGAGCCTTTGCCATGTGTGGATACTGTGCCAGGCTCCATCCATGTATAATTTTCCCCTGTCAATGCCCCTCTGAGGTGGTTACTATTATTATTCCTATTTTATAGAGGAGTAAGCTATGGCATGGAGAGGGCTTGGAATTTGTCCAAAGTCACCCAGCTCGCATCAATGACAGAGCCCAGGGCCCCACCCTTAGCCACTGTGGGTTACTGCCTCTACTTATATTCTATCCAGAGAGTGGCTTATGTGGACCACGTACTGACCATTAGCCATAGCCAGGAGCCTGCTCTGGACTAGTAGGATTGGTGGAAATAGCGGTGCTTTGATATTCAAGAGGCTAGGGTTCCCAACCTGGCTCTACCCCAGGCTGAGTGATCCAGTTGCCTCTCCAAGCCTCAGTTTTCCTACATTTAATAAACCAGGGTTGGACTCCATTGAGCTTTTCTCATGGTTCACATGAGAACTTCTGGGATGAAGGGTTAGTTACAGCAAAGAGGAGTTCTGGGGATCAACCAGATAGCCAGGGTTCTAGTTCAATCTCGGGGGCGGGAGGACTGTCCCTTTTCCATCCAACCATCCAAAGCCCTCCCCAGATTTAGTCGGCAGTGCGTGGTGGACAAAGACAAGAGGAACCAGTGCCGCTACTGCAGGCTCAAGAAGTGCTTCCGGGCTGGCATGAAGAAGGAAGGTGAGCTTCGGGGGGGGCCCCCCCTGCCACCATTGCCCCACCCGCACCACAGCTCCCCACAGTCATTTACAACTGGGGACACAACTTTATGACTCAGTAACAGGCCCCGGGGTGACTGACTAATGGCTGAGAGAAGGAAGGGCCTAGAAATCTGACCACAGGGCGGGGCTGGGCTTGGTCTTGAGAACGATTCAAAGAGATAAGTTCCCACTGTGGCTGTGCGGGTTCCCAGCCTTCACCACCCCTGCCAGCCTTCTCCACCACCACGCAGCCAAATCCAGTGTTTTTTCTTTATGTGCTATTTCAAACATTAAGAAAGGCATAGAGCCGAAACCGGTTTGGCTCAGTGGATAGAGCATCAACCTGCAGACTGAAAGGTCCCAGGTTCGATTCCAGTCAAGGGCATGTGTCTTGGTTGCGCGCACATTCCAGTAGAGGATGTGCAAGAGGCAACTGATAGATGCTTCTCTTTCATCGATGTTTCTAACTCTCTATCTCTCTCCCTTCCTCTCTGTAAAAAATCAATAAAATATATATTTTTTAAAAACGAAGAAGAAAGAAAGGCATAGAGAATGATATTACAAATGTCCATGTATTACCTAGACTCAGCAAATATGGGGGGAGGGGGAGGACATGGAGGCGGGGGGGGGGGGGGCGGGGAGGCGGAGAGTCATGGGAAGGTGCTCTGTTCCTGAGCTTCCTGTCCCAGGAACAAGTGCCCAAGCTCCTTAATCGTCACAGTTGAGTATCAGGTGAGTCAAAGTGTTCCCATATTAGGGAATGGGAACAGGACACTGGACTTGTCCTGGGAAGTGGAGAAGGAGAAGACGCAGTGCATTGATTACGGTCTCTCCAGGCCTCCTGATACCAACAGATACCAGTCATTGGGCTGGGCTTTTCCATGATGGATAGTTCCTTTTGTTCTTATGACAACTGTGTGTGGTGGCCCTATTATTCCGGATGAGGGAATGGAGGCCAGAATGGCTCAGCAACTTGCCGAAGGCCCCACAGCTGGTCAATGCAGAATCTGGGGTGGCATCATGAATCCAGAGCTTTGAACTCAAGCCCAGTGCTGTTTGGACAGCACCTCCATGTTGCTTGCTTTATGCCCTCCATGCTTCAGGGACATTCAGCCCAAGCTCAGGAAGCAAAAATCTTTTAACTGCTTCTAAAAATAACTTTCCTTTACCAAACCTCTTCATCTTTTTCTCCTCTCAACTTACACTTCCCAGCTCTAGGACTACCCTCCAGGTCTTCCTTTCTAGCCCTCAGTTGTGGTACCCAAGCCAAACATCTGGTCTAGTCCTTCACACCTCCTACCCCCCATCCCACCCCACAGCAGGAACCTGGGACCCAGCCTGCTGAGCCTGAGGAGAGGAGCTCAGCTGTGTTCGCCTCCTCTCCCCATCTTTGCCTTTGAGACCCTATTTTCTCTGCTCCTGCCCTAGGAGTTATTTCTGAGCCTCATCCTAATAGGGCCTTGGCGTGAGCTCATGGGTCCGGTGGCAAACCTGGGCCTGCTCACCCTGATGAAGGAGTAGTCCCCTCCTGCTTTCAACATAATTCTAGCCTCCAGACCTCAGCAGTTCTCAACGTGGGGAAGGGGCTTTTGCAGAGGGCAAATGATCCCATCTCTCCCGACCTGGTGTTCAGTGGTGCGGAGCCTCTCTCACCCACTCTCACCTCCCAGTTGGGAACCACTCTGTGGGATAGGAAATGCTAAAGATGGGGATGGGTCACTTCAGGGTCCAGCTTTGACCTGCCATTATATGTGTCCCTTGTAAAGCATTCAGAGTCATTTCCCCACGTGTCACTGCAGGGGAGTTTCTGCCCCTTCTGGACTCTATAAAATGAGGGGTTTGGTAGGGGTCCCTCCCAGCCTTGTGAGCCTCACCACAGACGCTGGGACTTGTGTGTTTGTTTCCTGGTCTTCCCCCTTAGCTGCCAATGAGGTGCGGGCCCACATCCTGGCTCCTAGAAGGGGAGAGGGAACACCAGGCAATTCTGCACTTGCTTAGCCTTGAAAATTGCTTGTTGGCTCGGAAAAGGTGGCATCATGTCAGGAGGATAGAGAATTGGCTGATGGCAAGTCAGCGTAGGCGAGTAAATGTTGGTGCTTATTTACACACCTGGGTTAAGATTGTGACATGTGCTCGTGTCCCTTGGTTGCTTTGAGAATAGGCCAGGGTAGCAAAGTGTTCAGTCACCACGGTGGTCAAGCTCTGGGAAGTAAGGGTATTACTAGTTCTAAGTTTTATAGCCTGGTAAGAACTTCCTAAAGCCAAGAGAAATTCTTGGAAGCCACGGGGATCAGAAGAGCTGGGACAAGTTTTCATTTTTCTATCTTGATGGTCTTAGCAGAACTCAGTCACTTAAACCCAAAAGTAGCCCTGAAGGGTGAATTGTATGGTGATGGATAGTCAGTATAAACTTCTGAGGATGCTCACTTTGCAGAGAATCAGATGTCAAATTATAATGCTGGGTACTTGACATATATTTGTAAAAATGGGCTGCAAACAAAATTTATAGACTGGACAGGAAGGCATGGGCTACAAACAAAATTTATAGACAAGACAGGTGTATTTGAGGCTATTAAATCTACTTCTTCATACACTTTACAGATGGGTAAATTGAAGCAAGAGAAGTGACATGATTGACTCAAGGGTGGAGTCAGGGCTAGAACTCAGGTTCCCAGAACTGGGCAGGTACCAAGCTCCCAGGATTGAAGCTGGGAGGGACCAGCATGGGAACCATCTTGGGCCTAGATTCCTGAAAGTTCCTCTTGACCGCAGGGAAGGGCTCTAAATCTCATAGACCCGTAAGTCTTGGCCAGAGGTTATTCCATGGAGGCCATCAGTGAGTTTCCTGAAGTGACAAGTTTTCTGGGGATCAGTGGGCCTAACAGTAGGTTGAAAATTCTTCCCTATAACCCGACACTTACTCGGTGATCCTAGGACAAATGCAGGCTCCTGGAATTGGACACCTAGAACCAGGAAGTGGGGTCAAGGGTGTAAGAGGTGTGGGGTAGTGGTGGGCCCTTTCTTGGAACCTCAGCTGAGCCCCTAGAAGGCCCCCATCAAGGAGTTCTCTGAGAAGACAAGCTCATCCTCCTCACTGCCTCTGCCCAGGTTGGTTAATATTCAATAGAAGTTACATTAGGTCCCCGACCCTGCTAATACTGAGCAAACATTTGGAAAACATCATTCCGTGACTGAGCTCGCGCCGGGCACTGATAAGGCCAGCCTAACCTTGAGGAGCCCAATCCGCAGCTGCTGACAGCAGCCCTTTTATTCAGCCTGCCGCCTCCTGGCGCCCTGGTGGGTGCGGGCAGCCTCTGTGGGAGGGTGTGGGCAGGGCAGGTGGGGCGGGACTAAGCCTGGGGAGCGGTTCTGGGAGCTGGCCCCATGCAGGGTGGTGGGTCTCCAGAGAGATTTCTTATCTTGGGATTTCTATTTTATCCCCCCTGACTCCTGGTTTCGTTTAAATTGTCTGACTTTCTTTCTCTGATTTCAACAATGTGTGAAATCCAGAGACAGTTGAATAGGTGGGATGTCAATGTTCCACCGAGACACGGGGCCTAGGGCGCTCCCAGGAAAAACAGCTTGTCTCCTCCAGCGCCTTCTATTATTCACTCGGCAAATATTGATGGAGCACCTACTGTGTGCCAGGCTCTGTTCTAGTCACTGGGGCCGCAGAAGTGAACAAGAGGGAGTTCTTTCTGGAGCTTCCCTTCTCAGAGAGAGACAGAGAGTAAAGAAATGAGCATGTGATTCTACAATAAGTGCCAAGAGGAAGAAGGAAGCAGGATGCAGGGCAGAGTGTGAGGAGGGAATGCCACTCAGACAGGTGGTCAGAGAGGGTACCTCTGAGAAGGTGACATTTGCAGGGGGATGAGTGACATGAAAATGCAGCGAATTCAGACGTTTATACCCAAAAGTAGTCCTGAAGGGTGAATTGTGTGGCGATGGGGGGTCACTAGACTTTTGAGGATGCTCACTTTGCAGAGTGTACAGATGTCAAATTATAATGTTGGGTACTTGACATATATAGGGTAGAGAATCCCAGGCGGTGGGGAGAGCAGCGGCAGAGTGTGTCGGAGCAGTGAAGCACATTTGGGGACAGAGAGAAAGGGCGACATGGAAGGGGTATGACCTGAGAGGTGCATGTAAGGGCAAGGCTAGGAGCAAAGGGACCAACGAGGAGGTCCCGGGCTACCCCAGGGCTGAGAAGTCAGGGCCAGGCAGAGTGGGAGCCAAGATGGATTCTGTAAAGACCACTCACACATGTGGGGCATGAGTAGAGCTGGTATGTGAAGAGAAAGATTCCCAGGCTGGACGTGGGAGAATAAACTTCCTGTTTCTGAGATGGGAGAGACAATTTGGGAAGCAAAAGCTGATAGATGGGGCAACTGAGGCACAGAGAGAGGAAGTGATTTCTCCTGGCACACGGAGAGCGACTGGCCATTCCGAACAGGAACTGGTCCCCTCCCACCGCGTCCTCCCTCCTCCCAGCTACAGCCAAGCCTCATTGCACAGGAAGGCTTCTCAGAGTCCAAGCGACAGGGCCGAGGCAGCAGGTCCCTCTTATATCTCTGGCCAGGACTGGCCCGGAAAGGGACAGCCAGTGGGGTGCGGGGTCCTGGTGGACACAGACCCCGGATCTCTGAGTTCCTGGGAGAGAGCCCAACAATGGGCAGAGGTAGGACAGCGTATCTTCGCTGCCTCTGAGAAGGGCAGCCTGGATCCCTTGCAGCTCCTGCTGACGATGAGACGGCCAGGGCAGCCAGGGCCTCCAGATCCCCTTGGCCAGGCCTTCTGCCTCCGAGTTCAGGAATCCCTGCGCCATCTCCTGTCCCCCAGAGGAATTCATTTTGCTTGTTTTGCACACTTTCATCTGGAAAGAAAGGGACCCTTTTTCAAAACAGAGCTTGCAAATCTGTTATCTAGACAGATCCCCTCTTCAATGCTCAAGACTCACCTTAAGCCCTCTGCCAAGTCACCATTGTCTTGCATGCCTCCAGGGATGGGTGGGTCACTCCTGCAGTCGCTGCACTGGGTGGGGGCAGTTTTGGCATTTGGGAAGTTCTAACAAGCGGGGTCAGAATCTGTCTCCCTTTCTTCCCACAAGTTGATCTGGGCTCTGTCTCCTGGACGCACCCCTCCTACTCCCACCTCCAACTATGCCTCCTTCCCCGCAGGATAGCCCTGCAGAAACTCTGTCTGGGTGAACTCTCTCCCCTTGCACCTCATTCATTCCTCTTCAGTCACGCGACAGCCCTCCCCTCCTCCATATCCCTGCCCGCCCTCCTCACTCCTCTCTGCCATCCTCACAGCCGTCCAGAATGAGCGGGACCGGATCAGCACTCGGAGGTCAAGCTATGAGGACAGCAGTCTGCCCTCCATCAATGCGCTCCTGCAGGCGGAGGTCCTGTCCCAGCAGGTACTGGGGTGACTGCTCCACCCACCTGGGACCCCACACACTGAAGTGGAGTCTCACCTCCACCCCGCCCTCCCCAGCCAAGCCTTGGAGCTAGAAGGACCCTCAGATATCACAGAAGGGAAGCTGAGTCCAGTATCTCACGGCCAGCTTAGTAGCCAAGACAAAACCGGAACTCAGGCCTGGCACTCTTTCTAGTTCATCCCACTGCCCACATTGTGCAGGCCAAGCAGATCTCTGCCTTCACTGGGGGCCTGAGACCAGCTTAGCCCTGGGACAACAGAGCAGCGAACGAGTGGACAGGGTAGCAGACTGGGGCCTAGTCAGCCTCTTGGTGTTGGCCTTGGGCCAATCACAGCACCTCCCTGGGCTGTGGTTTCTTCATCTACCAGATGGGGAGGAGGATTTTTGCTCTGCTTCTGCCCTAGGGCTGAGGGCTTCCTTGGGATTCTGAGGAGGAGGCAGGGGCAGGCAGCAGGGCTTCTTCAGCATCCTTCCTTCTGTCCATTTTCCCTTAAACTTCCTCCGAGCCAAGACAGCACCCACGGTCCATCTCCCCTTTTCTACACGACACTATCTGAGGAGGGGCCTCTGCAGGCTTCAGAGCGTGTGGAGCAGCCCAGCCTTCCCCAGCATTTTCCTTCATCTCCCCCCAGATCACCTCCCCTGTCTCTGGGATCAACGGAGACATCCGGGCAAAGAAGATCGCCAGCATTGCTGACGTGTGCGAGTCCATGAAGGAGCAGCTGCTGGTGCTCGTTGAGTGGGCCAAGTACATCCCAGCTTTCTGCGAACTCCCCCTGGACGACCAGGTGCGGGCCGACGTGCACTGTGGGCAGTGGGGGCACTGGGCAGGAGGGACCTGCTGGCCCACCGGGGATATAGCCGACAGGACAGGTCTGAATTTATTTAACAAAACACACATAGTGCTCATGTGTCCTGGAGTTGTTTAAATCACTTTGCAAATGTTAACTCATTTAATCCTTCGAACAACCCTTTGAGGTAGTGCTATTATTAGTTCCATCTTACAGGTGGGGAAACTGGGGCACAGAGAGGTTAAGTAACTTGCTCACGGCCACGCAGCTGGGATCAGAATTAGGCAGGCCAGCTCCAAAGTCCAGGCTTCTATCCATGGTACCTCTGCACCAGGACCCTCTCCCCAGGAGATATTGACAGGGGCCCAAAGCCAAGGATCAGGAGATTCGGGCTAGAGCCCTGGTTCTCTGTGTCAGACGACTTCCTGACTCTGAGTCTCAGGTTCCTTATGTATAGAGTGGAAATTATAATACCTGCCTCAGAACGTTGTTGGAAGGATTGAGGACATTACTGTTTGAAAAGTGTAAATCATGTAATGAGAGCTACACAGTGCCAGGCCCATAGCTGGCCTCCCTAAATGTCAGTTTCTTCCTGTATCCCACCAACATGGTAGAGCTCAGCATTTTATTTCCCAAAGTACATTCTTTGACATACCAAAAATGTCCCAGGGGACCAGGGAAGTATGTGTGTGTGTGTGTGTGTGTGTGTGTGTGTGTGTGTTGGGGGAGGGGGAAGGAGGGGCGGGATGGTGTCTGAGGACAGATGAGTTTCTGAAATACCACAAGTGACAGCTCCTGCACCCTGTGGACCTCTGCAGACATTGGGAAAGGAGAGCCGGGCTGGACCACCTTCTCAGCTCTAAGGGAAGCTCGGAGTCCCAGTGGACAGGGCCTAGATGTCCATCGGTGCATTTACTTCTCCGTTTTGCACATTTGCATGAAAGACTGGCAACGCATGCCAGTCTGTTCAAGTTTCTGAGAAGCCCCGCAGGCAAGGCATCTATTGAACTTTGTGGACAGACCCGGGGCTCCTGGAACTCCTTTTACACCGCTCCTGGAACACCTATTAGTGTCCCGCAATGGTTCACGTTGTACAAACACGAGTTTGGCTGGTCCTGGGCCTCGCACGGGGGGCTGGATCAGATGCCCTCTCACACGGATTCCTCCCGCTTTGGGAGGGAAGACAGGGCAGGGATCTTGGCAGAGCCCTTGGCTTCTCCCCTGCTCCTCGTGTTCTGGCCCTGGTCCCCTCTGCTGGAGAATCTACATTAATGTTTAATCCCTCCTGTTCCTTCCCAGGGGCTCAGCAGGGCAACGAGATACCCCCAAGCTGAACAATTGTTAACCTCGATTTCCCACAAACCTCCCTGGCTAGGGCTCAGAGCATTCTCAGAGAGCAGTGATGGGTGGCCAATAACACGGGACAATCATTAACACCCCCCTGCCTGCTCACCCCCAGAACAGTTGCCATGTCAGGGGGCTGGACCCAGATCATGAGGGTTCCCAGCTCCCCATTCATGGTGTACAAGGAGCCCATTTGCTCCAGATGGGGGTGGAGGAGGAGGAGACACACCTGGGAGATGGGGGTCATTGTCTTCCAAAGGACACCTCAAATCTATAGACATTATTCAGGAACCACTTTCCAAGTTGTTTGCTTCCTGTTTTGTCTGGAATATTAATCCATTGAAACCTGAAAGGCTAGGGTAGCATTGGGTAAGGGGAATGAGGCCTAAAGAGGGAAGGTGATTTGCCCCAAGTCACAGAGCAAGGCAGCCACAGAGCTGGGACTTGATGCCAGGTCTTCTCCCTGTCAATCAGAACCACTGGGTAAGTGACAAGGCCCTGTCCTGTGTACAGTGTAGGAAGTGCTCAATAATAAGCATCTTTGTCCTGGTCATTGAAAGTGTACTCTCACCTCCAGTTGGCCATTTCTCCTATTTTCCTGGCATCCTCACCAGGTTTAACTATAGGGGAATAAACTAGGTAAGGACAGGTGGCTGCCCAGGAGGCTGCTTCTGGAGAGGAAGTTAACTACCGTGTTTCCCTGAAAATAAGACATCCTCCGAAAATAAGACCTAGCGCAACTTGGGAGAAAAAATTAATATAAGACACTGTCTTATTTTCAGGGAAACAGGGTAGTTTACTCATTCGTTCATTCACTCATTTCTTTCTTTCTTCATTCAAACAAATATTTATTGAATGTTTACTATGTGCCTTAGGACAATTCCACCTCCTTATATGGATCTTTTCTGACCTCCCATTTATGTAGTTATTGCCCTATGCTCTTATCTCATACCCTCACCTTCCTTCTTCTCTTCCTCCCTCCCTTTCTTCCTCCCTTGCTCCCCTCTTCTCTTCTTTCTCTTCTCACTTTCCCTCCCAGCACCTTCTTTTCTTCTCATCTCCTCTCCTCTCCCCTCTCCTTTCCTTTCACCATTATGTCCCTATTGCCGAAAACATGTTTGTCACTTAGTAGGCACTTAACATTTGATGACTGGAAGAATGAACAATCAAATGAGTTAATGAACCACTCTTCATAATCTTTCATAGCTGGCCCATGAGTAGGAATTGGGGACACGCAGTGTTAGAACTTTCGGGGTGGTAGACCCTCTCTAGAGTCTGATGAAAGCCTTTGCACCTCGAATGAAAAAAATATATATACCCAGAATATTATCACAGTTTCACCAGGTACATAAACAAGGCCCTGGGGGGAGCAGCAACTTGCCCAAGGACACAGAAATTCAAGGTCAAAGTCAGTGTTTGGTTAACCTGCTCCTATGGCATGTTCTTTCCCCTCCTGGATTCCTGCTGAATCTTCTCCAGATCCCCAGTTGATCAGTTACGGGAAGAAGGCAGCAGTTTTTTGATGCCTGTTTTACTTCAGGCAGGTAAAGGCGAGGGAAGGATGAGGCTGACTTGCCCAGTGTCGGTGATTGGCTAGGAGCAGCCCTCACAGGGGTGCAGGCACCGGAAGCTGTCCCTTCTCTCTTCCAGGTGGCCCTGCTCAGAGCCCACGCCGGCGAGCACCTGCTTCTCGGAGCCACCAAGCGCTCCATGGTGTTCAAGGACGTTCTATTACTAGGTGAGGAGGTGGCCTGCTCAGCCAGGGTTCTATGGAGGGCATATCCAGTGTGGAACCCACCTGGGCACAGGAGATGTCCATGGCAGCATGCTGGGGCAAGAGAGACCAATCATAAATAGCCCTCTGCTCTTGAACTCAAGGAAATATGGACCCAAGGAATTAAAGTTCAAATACACTCCAAGCCAGATTCCAGGCCCAGTTTGATGGTTTCAAGCAACTCAATCCTTTAATCTGGGTCTTACCTTTCTCATCTGTAAAATGGGCACTCCTCCATGGGCATCAACTTCATTGCCACTGCAAAGGACAGGGCCTGTTCAAAGCTAGGGGTAAGGGTACACCCAAGGTGGCCTCTCCATCCCCTCTCCTTCCCAACTCATCCAGGAAACGACTACATCATCCCCCGACACTGCCCGGAGCTGGCAGAGATGAGCCGGGTGTCCATGCGCATCCTGGACGAGCTGGTGCTGCCTTTCCAGGAGCTGCAGATCGATGACAATGAGTATGCCTGCCTCAAAGCCATCATCTTCTTTGACCCAGGTATCGCCCACACCTCCCACCCACCCCCGGTGCTCTGTCAGACTTCTCCGACTGGGTTATAGACCCCAAGATCACGGCCTCATCTCTTTAGTACAACCCCCGAGAGAGGGTGTTTTTCTTAGCTGTGTGTCAGAGATAAGGAAAAATCAAAGTTCAAAGGGATGACATGACTTGTCAGGGCACACTGAGTCCAGAGGCTGGGGTTTTGTCTTTCCTTTCCCTTCCTCCCTCCTTCTTTCTCTTTCATCTCCCGTCTATCCTTCGTTCCTTTCCTTTCATCTTCTTTTCCTCAAGAGGTGGTGGGGGAGCTACCTTGGGTGTACCTTACCCCTAGAAAATAATATCTGCACATCCTTAAAACGCAAATGTTCCTCCCTCCTCCACTTTTCCTGCCAAAGCCTACTCCCTAGAGGGAGCCATTTCTGACTCTTTATCGTTTCTTCTGGCCATTACCTCGAGCTCAAAATAAAATGCTACGCCTGCTCTCTCTTGCTTTATCTTTTTTAGGTCGTATTTTTCCTCCTAGGCTAGTGGAGGGTTTCACTTCTTTTATCACCATTCCTATTCTCCTCCATTCTCTTCATATATTTTTCTGGCTATTTCAGTGTCTCTATTGATCACCCTTATAATGTTTATTGTGTGCTTATGCCTTTATTTCTTGTCCTATCAACTGTGGAGAGTATTTTCCAACCTTTTGTGTAGCATAGAGTCCCCCTTATCCATAGTTTTGTGTTTTGTGTGTTTGTTTGTTTTTTGTGGTTTCAGTTACATGTGGTCAAGTTCCAGAAATAAACAATTCATAAATTTACAATTGCAGGGTGTTCTGAGTAGTGCGATGAAATCTTGCACCCTCCTGCTCTGTCCCACCTGGGATGTGAATCATCCCTTTTTCCAGCGTATTCACTCTGCGTATGCTATCTGCCTGTTAGTCACTTGGTAACCAATGCGGTTATCAGATCAACTATCCCAGTATTGCAGTCCTTGTGGTCAAGTCACCCTAGTTTACTAAATAATGGCCATAAAGTGCAAGAGTAGCAATGCTGGCAATTTGGACAATCCAAAGAGAAGCTGTAAAAGTACTTCCTTTAAGTGAAAAGGTGAGTACAGTTTAGTAAGATATCTTGAGATAAAAAGAGAGAGACCATATTCATATAACTTTTATTACAATGTATTGTTATAATTGTTCAATTTTAGTATTTATTAGTTATTGGTAGTAATCTCTTACTGTACCTAATTTATCAATTAAACTTTATGATAGGTATGTATGTGTAGGGAAAAACATAGTCTTTAACATGGTATATAAAGGGTTCAGTTCTGTTTGTGGTTTTAGGCATCCACTGGGGACCTTGGACTGTATCTCCTGCAGATAGTGGGGACTACTGTACTGCATCCCCACCCTGTCCTTCAGTTCTGACTCTCCTATCCCCATTCCATCTACTGACTTTCCACCAGCACTTGTAGCTTGAAGTTATGTCTGTGCAAAGCCTGATTTTATTTTTACAATGTCAAGATTCCTGGGCCCCCAAAGGCTTGCTTGCTTCCTTTCCTCCTTACATGTTAGAGAACACCTACTGCGTGCCAGGCACTGTCTTAGGTCCCACCTGCATGAAGATCACCTCTAGTAATAACAGTAATGAAGAGGGAGGTGATCACCATCTATGGAATGCTCTTTAAGACACAGTTCTAAACACTCCGTGTGGATCATCTCATTTACTATTTGCAACATGGTACCTGTGAGGTGGGAATTACTATCTCCATTTTACAGATTAGAAAACTGAGCACAGGGAAATCAATTAATGTGACCAAGGTCACCCAACCAGGAAATGGCAGAGCTCGGATTTGAACTTCAAACTATTCAGACCTCAAGCCCATGTTCTTACCTACCCACATGCTAGTCCCCATTTCCTAACGGGTAAGAGTACTAGTTCTAGTTTCCTTGATAGTTGGCCCAGGTTATATCCCCTGAAGCACTCATCACAGAGATAGACAGAGTAAATGGCTCAATGTACAGGTTTACTGACCCTGAGTCAGGGTCAGTAACCTGGCTTGGAGGGGTAGGTGACCTATATAATAGGGCCTGGCCTGTAGGTGGTGTTCAATAAAGTTTGTTGACTGAGTAAAAGAATACACAAACATGGTTAGTGGAGACATCTTGGACTGGATGTGTGGGTGAAATTCTCTTTTCTGCTACTTACATTAGGAAATAAATGCATTACCTCCCTGAAATTTGACTTATCCATTGGAGGACTACTTGAGTCCCCTTCTTGACATTGAGGATCTAAAATTTATCCATTGATTTTTTTTTTCATTCAATTATCCTTCTAGCCATCTATCTATCCTTTAATCTATTCAACAAGTACTGACAGTGCATGGTACTAGGTGGTGGGTTTAAAATGACAAATGACACATATGCCTTCCTGCCCAGAGCACACAGCTAGTGGAAGAGACAGTTGTCTCCTGTGCAGTCAGCAGTAACGGAAGAGCCACAGAAATTTGGGAACATAATGCGGACTTGGGGAGGGTAGAATGGAGAAGGCTTCTTGGTAAAGGTGAAACCTAAGCTGAGACCCTAAGATGATGCAGTAAAGGGAGCAGAGAAGTGGGGGATACAGCTCTAAGGCAGCAGAAGCAGTGTGTGCTGAGATCTGGACAGTGGGAACTCAACCGGGAATCAGGAGCCCCAACTCCACATCATGGATTGCCAACACTGGATGTGTGACCTGGGCCATGTCCTTTCCCTGCTCTGTGCCTCAGTTTCTCCATGTGTACTGAGGAAGTTGCTAAGTGCCCTCTTGGGTATGTTCCTGAAGTCTCATCCCCCATCCCTCAATCCTCTCTCCCAGTTCTGCATCTTAGGAAATGTGACAGAAATACTTTTCCACCTGAATCCAGGAAGCTACAATTTGCATTAGTGCACTCTGCTTCTTTGGGACCCTGAATCTTCATCCCAGCACTGCTGAGGATTCCCTGTGTGACCTTGAGCCACTAGGCCCCCTATGAGAGCCCCATGAGTCAGGGTAAGTCTGGGTCCTGACTCCCCAGGTGCTCTAACTGGGCCCCCCTGCCTTCCCTTGCAGATGCTAAAGGTTTGAGTGACCCGGGTAAGATCAAGAGGCTGCGGTCCCAGGTGCAGGTGAGCCTGGAGGACTACATCAATGACCGCCAGTATGACTCACGTGGCCGCTTCGGCGAGCTGCTGCTGCTGCTGCCTACCCTGCAGAGCATCACCTGGCAGATGATTGAGCAGATCCAGTTCATCAAGCTCTTTGGCATGGCCAAGATCGACAACCTGCTGCAGGAGATGCTGCTGGGAGGTCCGTGCCCCGCCCCGGAGGGGCAGAGAGGTGGGCGGGGCAGGGGTCTCTCCAAGAGAAGGGCTCTCTTTTGACAGGTTGGCCAAGGGAGACATCTCTCAAGTGGTGACTTTTGTGCTTAGACCAGATGGGTTAAAAAAAAAAAAAGAGTATTTAAAAGTCAAGAGAAAAACATTCTAGAAAGAAGTAACTAATAGAGAAGTCCTGAAGCAGGAGAGGATAGTGAGTTCGAGAAGGAGGATAAGATGGTGAGCTGAGGGAGTTGTATGAGATGAAGATGGAGAGCCGGCAGAAATCAAACGGTAAGTATATGGTGTTATAGGCCACGATCAGGAATTTTTATTTTATTCTCATGCAACTATTATAAGAAGATTGAACACCAGACTAGTGTTTTATTTATTTTTTAAAAAATATATTTTATTGATTTTGTACAGAGAGGAAGGGAGAGAGATAGAGTGTTAGAAACATCAATGAGAGAGAATCATCGATCAGTTGCCTCTTGCACACCCCCCACCGGGGATATGCCCGCAACCAAGGCACATGCCCTTGACCGGAATCGAACCCGGAACCCTTCAGTCCCCAAGCCGACGCTCTATCCATTGAGCTAAACCGGTCTCGGCCAGACTAGTGTTTTAAACAAACTACTCTGATTGTTGGGTAGAAAGTGAATTTTGGGAGGGGGAGGTGCAAAATGGAGACAGGAGACCCCTGAGAATGTTATTGTATAGGGAAAAGACAATAGAGGCTTGGACTAAAGCATGACTGGTAATTTAGCAGCAGAGAAAAACTTGGTCATCTATTTGGAGGAAGAACCTGCAGGACTTGCTGATTGATCAAGATGTGGGGAGAGAGAGGGAGGAGGAGAGTCCAGGATAAAACCTGTGTTTTTGCTCTGAGTAACAGGAATGCTGGTGGATCAATTTGCTAAAATGGGAAGACTGAGAGAGAACAGTTGGAGGCTGGGTGTGGTGGTGATGGTGAGGGATCCATTTTACACTTGAGTTAAGCTTGAGATGATGTTAGACATCCAGGTTGAATTATCATGGAGGCAGTTGGATGTCTTAGTCTGTTGCTAAAATGCAATCCCAAAGCTCAGGGTGAAAGGCAACTCCATGGTATTCCAGCAATTAGTTGCCATGGGAGGAGGTTGGAGGAAGTGGAGCCAAGGGATAAGAGCAAAACCAGGGAAGTTCCAGAATCCAAGAGAAGAGCATGTTTTAAGGAGGACAGTGCATTTAATGGTATTAAGTTCACAGGAAAGGGATGGAGGTGTTCATTGGATTGGCACAATAGAGGCTCTTGGCGATTGTGAAAAGAACCGTAGTGTCAGAGGACCATGGGAAAGGAAACCAGACTGGGAAGTGTTACAGAGTGAGTGGGAAAATGAAGTGGAGATAGTAGACAACCCTTTGAAAATGTTTTACTCTGAAGGGGAGCTCTGGGAGAGTTGATGATGAATGCAAGGGAAGGAGGGATTATAATACTAAGTTATGGAATCTTGGCTGCACTAAAAGAGAAATAAAGATGGGGTGACAGTGAAAAGTGGGGATCAGTGAGTTGGCAGCCTCAATAGGGTTGAAGAGTTTTTGCAGTGGTGGTACTAGATGAAGTGAGCTGGAAGGATAGGAGGCAGGATCTAAGCAAGGAAGCCTGGGCTGAGTGTAAAATGCTCACAGACAGGAGAAGTGGTTATTTCTAAAGATGGTTACAGACCAAGTAATTACTCTGGGCATTACAAGAAAGGAGAAGTTGACTTCCTACTGGGGTAGAGAGAACCAGGAGAGGCTTCCCTTAGGAGGAAATATCTGAACTGGAATTTGGACATGTGAACATGGAGGGATGGGGAAGGCATCTCTAGTGGAGCCAGACCAGGAGCAAAAGCAGAGAGATTGGAAATTACAGGAAAGTACAAAGAAGCACATAGATGCTGTAAATAGGTCAGCGTGGCTGAAAAGTGAGTTGGGATCAAATGGTTGAAGAACTTCCATGCCAAGGAATTTCAAAAGTCATTGATTAAATCCATTATATTAATATGCAATCAATACTCACGATAATATTTAAATTATCTCAATACTTCTGTTTTGTTTAAATCACTTTTGTTCTCTTGGTGACCTGGGTCCTCTTAATACCCTCATAAAGTCCATGGGTGGGAATGATAAACCCCAGTTTACTAACCCAGAAATAGGAACCCAATAGGCATCATCCATAATGGATGGGTAGGTTGATTGGCCACACCTGAGGAATATGGTGTCTCAAGGCCTATGGTCCTTATCCCAAACTCTTCATCTTCATTGAGTCTTCCCTCTACCTGCAGGATCCGCCAGTGATGCAACTCATGCCCATCATCCCCTGCACCCTCACCTGATGCAGGAACACATGGGCACCAACGTCATTGTTGCCAACACGATGCCTACTCACCTCAGCAATGGACAGATGTGTGAGTGGCCCCGACCCAGGGGGCAGGCAGGTGGGCAACTTGGGTTCTATTCAGGAAGGGGTGAGGTTGGGGCCTAAGAGGGAGCCAGGATAGGGACGAGGGATGAGATTGTGTATTTGTTAAGGCTGCTATTCAGTAAGGTGATTGGTAGCCTCTACTGAATGAAGCTGTCCTTGGGGTGGGGTAATCCACTAGATGAAGTTGCCCATTGGGTGAGGCTATCTATTAGAGTGAAAATTCCATTAAGTGTTGTGGATTAGGCCAAATTGTTCATTAAATAAGGCTTCTCAATTGGGTAAGGCTATCCACTAGACAATTGAGTGAGATTCTTTATTAGGTCGGGATGCCCGTTGAACTAGGCTCTCCTCTGAGGTAAAATCTCACAAGAGTGAGTTTGTCATTGGCAACATTCTTTAAAGAGTAAAACCATCATTGGGATGAGACAGTCCACTAAAATGAGATTTCATTTCATTGAGATTATTCTTTGGGAAAGTTGTCCATTGACTGAAATTAGCCAAGTGGGTCATCGTCGAAGTTACTTTCCATTTTTTTCTGGTTTTTTTTTTTTAATTTTTTTTTTTTTTATTTCAGAGAGAGGAAGGGAGAGGGAGAGATAGAAACATCAATAATGAGAGAGAATTATGCATGCCCCTTACTAGGGATCAAGCCCGCAACCCGGTTATGTGCCCTGTCAGAGAATCAAACCATGACCTCCAGGTTCATAGGTTGGTGCTCAAACATTGAGCCACACCAAAGTTACTTTCTGAACCTGTTATGGGGGTGAGGCCAATTAGTTTCTGTTACTTATCTACCTAAATATCAGAATTTTTTAAGCCAAATAGGTTTTCATCAATTGTTGCTCCTTCTCTCCAAGAATGGGTATTCCTGTCACATGTCCCATTGTTCTTGGGTAGAGTCAGACTTGGGCCTTGGTTTGGGAGAAGCTGCACATGTCTCCATGTCAAACAGTGAAGGAGATGGAGGTTGGTAGGAACTGGATGTTACCTGGCCCAGCCATAGCCTTCCAGACCTCATAAAACATAAGACTGGTCTGGGATCTGAAGATTTAAACCATAAGAGACTTCAGAGATTATTTGGTTAATTCTCTCATTTGATAGAAGAGGACACTGAGCCCCAGAGAAGGGGGAGAACTTTCTAGGGCCCTGCTTTTACTCCCCAAAGGGCTAGGATTCTGAACAGCCTGTCTGTCTCTCTGTCCCTCCAGCCACCCCTGAGACTCCACAGCCCTCACCACCAGGTGGCTCAGGGTCTGAGCCCTACAAACTCCTGCCAGGAGCCATCACCACAATTGTCAAGCCCCCCTCTGCCATCCCCCAGCTGACTATCACCAAGCAAGAAGTCATCTAGCAAGTCGCCGGGGATCGGGGGCTCTGCTGGTCCTCCAGTCCCCTCAGACAGCCCTTGGTGGTCACTTGGTCATGGGGCTGGAAGCTGTGACAATAGGGCCAGTCCCAGAGCAATAGTGAAAAGGGCAAAGGGCCCAAGAACTTGGGCTGTGGGCCACGTCATATTGCCACCTCCTCTGCTCTGGATGATGGGGCCTTGACTTGGGGAGATCCCAACTGGAGAATACTCTGCTGCCTTGGACGTCTCTCTCGCCAAAGCCACTGTCTTCCCCTTCATCCATAACTACCCTCAGCTGTTTCACCTGCTGCCTAGAGATGACGTGGGACCTCACTCAAGCACAGCTTTCTTTCCCTCAGGCTGGTACTTCTCCCCGAGTGCTGTCATAGTGCCCAGGCCCTTTATCTCTCTTTGCTCCCCAACTTTGAGGGATGAGTGTCAGAATTCTGCCATTCCAGGAGAATTTTTTTGGGGGGGTGGGGGAGGTCTGGGTTTGAGACTTGCTCTGGGGAGCATCACTCAGGGTACATTCTGGAGCCATTAAACTCCAGGATGAAACTGCCAGTTGCCTTGTCCATGCAGAATCTTGGTGGCTTTGGAGAATTCTGAAAAAATGTCATTTCCCATAGCAATTAAAGCTGGAACCAGACCTGGGACCAGAGCTGTGCTTTGTAGAAGGATAAATAGTTAGATGGGTGATCTACTCCCCAGCCAAGGCTGACCCTTCCGGGTAGATGGGGCAGTACCCCAGTGCCCCCCAATTCCATTGTTAGTGATCGTTCCTCTTGGCAAAGGAGGCATGAAGGGTACAGTATGTCCAAGAGAAATCTCTGCATCTCCAGTGCTGTGAGGATTGTCCTTCCCCACTCCAGCAAGCCCAACCCCAATCCCAGGAGAGAGTGTTTCCTGCTCTGAGCTCTCCAGGCTTCCTTAGCCACATCTCACTTCATTTCCCCAGAAATTCCAGCCAGGGGGCTCTGGCTGGTGCAGGGTGAGGTAGGGAATCTGGAGCCATTCTGCTCATCATGGTCATTCCTACTGTTTGTTCTTCCAACCCCCCCAATGTCCTGGGAGCAAAGCTGAGGTAAGAATTTCCCATGGGGTGGAGCAGGGCAACAATGGCTTTTAATGGTAGCAATTTTCTGGGGCAGGGGTCAGTCCTCTGCCCAAATCAACTCTTCCTGAAGGAGAAATCCATTCCACTTTACCAATTTTATTGCCAATTATAGGAAACAAAGTAAAGACAAGTTTACTTTCCTGATTCTAAACTGAGGACACCACATTGGAATTTTTGTCTACCTGAGTTGTAGTCCTAAAACAAAAATCTGATGGACTAAAAGAAATGGTGGGGAGGGCATCCATGGACCCTGTAATTCCTCCACTGAGACAACTCCTCTAAGCAGCTCTCAGAAGCTTCCAGAGGCCCTGTGGCTCTGCTGGAAGGGGCAGGGAGGACAGGAAAAGGTTGTACAGGGATGTTCCTAGATTTCTTGTGATGATCAAGCCAATTACTTTTGCCAGATTGCTCTGTGATTTGCCCTGATTGGGATGAAGTGTGAAATTCACATCCAGCAGTTCTGAAAGTGGTTGGGCTCTGGCAGATCCACCAGCTTCTTCCAGGGGGCGTGAATGTCATTGGGTCCTGTGCTGACACCTGAGCCCCTGTCACTGCCACCCAATGGGGCAAACAAACAAACCAGAAACATTTATTGTGTGTTTTAACAGAAGTTTATAAAGCTAAATAAATGGCATGTATGTTTTTTAAGTCCTTGGATGGGTATCTTTCTTCCTTTCAGGTGTTAGAAAATAAGAATGAAAATAGTCTCCTACAGTGTGCAAAGTGCTCTCAAAGCCATTATTGTTTAATCTTCACTTCAAGAGGTAAGCAGGTTAGACATTGTTACCACCACCACCCACTTTATAGATGGGGAAACTGAGGCTCGGGGGAAGTGATTTTCCTTAAAGAAAGAAGTAGAAGTGGGAATTTCACTTTGGTCCCTTGATTTTGAGTATCAGTAAGTGGAGACAGGAAAGCCGATCAGGCAGGGGGTGATGGAAAGACCTGAAAGGATGGCAAGAGGGTCCAATGGTCTGTCATCTACCATCAGGATCCAAGATGGAGCCCTGTTCTGGGTCCTGGACCAAACTGCCAGCAATAAGAGACAAGTAGGCATGGGGAAATTTCATCAAAGAAAGTGTTGTTTTGAAAAAGAATAAAAGCAAGGGAGCCCTGGCCAGTTTGGCTTAGTGGATAGAGTGTTGCTCTGTGGACTGGAGGGTGCTGGGTTTGATTCCGGTCAAGGGCACATGCTGGGCTGCAGGCTCGATCCCTGGTAGGGGTATGCAGGAGGTAACCAATCAATGATTCTCATCATTGATGTTTCTATCTTTCTCTCCCTCTTTTATCCTCTCTGAAACCAATAAAAATATTTCTTTATTTAAAAAAACAACAAGGAATGCACTTGAGTATTCCAGCCAGGTTCATAGCCACCTTAGTCTTGTCCCTGATAAACTAATCACTAAGGACCACAGCCTCAGAGGTGTGCTGGAGCTGGCGTGTGAGAGCCGATTGTTAACTACTCTTCCCAACTCTCTGTTGGGCAATGTTGCAATGATAGCAGCGGCGGAAGCATTTATACCCCAGGAACTGGCAAACACTGTAAATCAAGGCTTTCCCCTGGAGAGCGGGTTGTTAAACGTTCACCAGCACACCATGGCATTCAGTGATGGGTGAAGGGGAGATTGCTGATGGAGTGCGTAGGTGTGATGACACCTAAAAAGGAGAGTGGAGAATAGTGACCCTTTAGTTCTTTCCCAACAGAGGGATTGGCAGTTCCAGTCTGGGAGTCACACATCTGGGTGATTCATTGTAACCTTGGTCTGGTCACTCCATCCCTCTGAGCTGCATCTGTTAAATGGCAATGATCCCTCCCTGCAGGGGTGTTGTCAGGATTAATGGGATGAGATCTTAGTAACTATAAGAGCTGTGTGTGCATGAGGTGCCCTAAGTGTCCACCACCAGGGACTCCGGGAGGTGACTTCCTCAGCCAGTCCTTTCTAGTAGAGGCTGGCCATTAAGTTCTCCAGCCTCAAGAGCACCATTAGCTGCCTGCCTGATCCCGGGGCCAGTCCTGCCTTCCCCTGTCCCTTCCCACTCATGAGTACCAGGAAATGTTTTCCTTAATGTTGCAACAGAAGCCCCATCCATGCTCCTGCCAACATGGACAAGGGGGCGGGGCAGAGGAGGCGATTGCAGCCCTAGAGTGTGCTTAATAAGTCCATATCAAAACCATAAACCCTGCCATAAATTCCTCTGGCCTTGGTTCCTCCACCTCATCAACCCTTTGCCCCAGTTAATCTCCAATCTCAGTGCTGGTGGCCAGAGCTTGGTTTCCATTTCAGTTGCAAAACATCAGCTTGGGAGACAAACAGCAAATCCTATTCTCCCCATTTTAGAGGTGATGAAATCAAGGTTCAGAGAAGTGAAGGCACTTGTCCAAGGCACATAGCTAGAGAGCAACTGAGCCAGGACTTGAACCTGTGCTTCTCCCAACCCATGTGGCCTCACTGAGAATCGGGGAAGGTTGCTTCCCCAGCCATGGTACTGGAAGCTTTTCATCCCCTATTACAAATGGAACCCCATTACTTAAAGAGCAGGGATGAGACGTGAAAGGGACTCTGGGGGACAGACTGGCTGGGTGAGGAACCAGAGGAAGTTCCGTGCAGCGTGAATGGCCTGTCATCCCAAATCGGTGGCATGGTTGTCCTTCCTCTTTTGTGAAACCCGGGTCACCTTTGAACTACATTTCTGGCATCAGTGTGTCATATGTAAATCCCAAGATGTGACCTAACAGACCTGAATCCCAGGACCCCGTGCAGCTGTTTGATGATGGTGGAGCAAAAAAACAAATCCTGATGCCAAGAGCAACATTTATTGACCTCTGTGTCAAGCATTACTGGACGTAAATTAATCCCCACAGCAACCCCGTGCATCCACGATTCTTGTTCTACTTTATGAACGAGGAAACCGAGGCTCAGAAGAAGGGACTTGTTTCTTCATACATTCATGCACAGCCAGTGCAACAGCTGAACTTCAAACACCCGCCGCCCGGCTTCAGGGGCCACTGCGGCAGGATTGAGGAGGGCATGGATGCGTTAGTCACTGAGTGGTGGCCAGAGTAGTGTGGGCTGTGAGAAGTTCATCCTTTGAGCCAAACCGGTGATGAGCAAATACCTGTGCCAAAGTGGCCTGGGGAATATGAAGAACCAGCACCACCAGGAGCCTCCCTCATGACACAGTTTTCACGTGTAGAGACAATAACAAGCAGCTGAATGCTGAGAGGCCAAGGAGTGAGGGTGACAGCTGTTAAGATGCTGGATCGAGGAAGGGAGAGATCACTGCAGTCTGGGAGAGAGAACGGTGTGCACACGCAGGAGGAGGATTGAGAGGCAGCATAAGGGAGAGAAAAGACAGAAAGAGAGACTGAGTGAGGAGAGAGGACGGGCAGGCAGCACGAAGCACAATCTGTGGGCGGCAGGAAGGACCGAGGCCAGCACTTTCCAACCTTCAGTCACCGCTCCTGGCACACTCCACCTTAGTCCTCCCCACTCTGAGGACCGCGGCACCTCCCGCTACTTAATATTTTTCCTTTAAATCAATTCCTAATTATTTTCTTTACACTGATCACTGATGTAAATAGGAAACCATGCCATACCAGTGTCACGTACCATAAATAGGGGGTGACTGAAAAATTAAAATGAAAACAATATTTGTAAGGAGCAACCAGAGAGGATTGCCCAGGAAATCTCTGCTCTTTCTTCTTCAAACGAGAAATTGCCAAGTATTTAGAGAGATGATAAAAGCCTATGCTATCCAATGGAGACTCTCTCCTTCACGATTTCAGAAGGAAGTAAGACCTGTAAAGAGACAGGCTTTGAGGATAATGTCATTTTGTACCACTGTCCCTGTGTATGCCACTAAAGTCCTCATCCACACATGGGCCAGGTGGTAAGGGCCTCAAACCTGGACAACTGAAATTCCTTCTGTGGAAATAGGAAATCACTGGACATTTGAAGGTGGGGGAAGGCTTTGGCCATATCTGTGTTTTTAAAGGATCCTCTGGCAGCTTCGTGGGGGATGAGGTATCTATGAGATGGTTCAGGGGAGAGATTATGGGAGCTTGGACTAGAGTAGTGTAGACAGAATTCAAAGGTGCCCCAGGGGATCCTCTGGCCTATCCATACCTCCCAATCATTCATTCAGACACCAAATCTGGGTGCTACTGTAAAGGGATTGAGCAGGTGTTAGGAAGGTCCCAAACCAGTTGGCTTTGTGAAAAGGAGAGTATCCCTGGTGGGCCTGCCCTAATCAGGTGGGCCCTTAAAAGGGGTTGGGCTCTTCCTGGCAAATGAAATTCGACGCATGAGAGAGATTTGATATGAGGGAGAGTCTCTGGCTAGCTTTGAAGATGGAGGTGGACACATGGCAAGGGATGCAGGCAGTCTCTCGAAGCTGAGAGCAACCCTACTGACGGACCGCTAGGAAGTGGTGACCTCAGTCCTGCAACGACAAGAAACCGAATTCAGGCAACAACTTGAATGAGGCGGGAAATCAGTCCTTCCCCAGAGCCATCAGGTAGGAACACAGCTCAGCCGGTTCCTTGGTTTCAGTTGTGTGAGACTGAGCGGAGAACCCTATCCCGCCATGCCCCACCTGACCAGACACGGTGAGATAACTAATGGGTGTTGTCTTAAGCCACTACGTTTGGGGTAATTTTTTATACAACATCGGGAATTAATGCAGGTGGTGGTGGGGAGGGGTGGTCAGTTTGGGATGTTTTAGAAGCAGCACAGACAAGAATTTGCTACTGGGTTGGATGTATGAAGAAAAGTAACTGTTGGGCTAGGGGTACTGATTTTTGTAATGAGGAAGATTAGAAGAGCTGTAGATTTGGGTTAGAACAGTGGTTGGCAAACTCGTTAGTCAACAGAGCCAAATATCAACAGTACAACGATTGAAATTTCTCTTGAGAGCCAAATTTTTTAAACTTAAACTTCTTCTAATGCCACTTCTTCAAAATAGACTCACCCAGGCTGTGGTGTTTTGTGGAAGAGCCACACTCAAGGGGCCAAAGAGCCGCATGTGGTTCACAAGTCACAGTTTGCTGATTATGAGGTTAGAACGTTCCATTGAGATGTTTTGTTTGAGATGCTAATTAAGTATCGAAGGAATCATTGGCTATCCACACCTAGCACTCACAGAGGAGTGGGCTGGAGAGATAAAGGCCAAACCATAAGCGCAAATGTGATTGAAAAGCGAAATGCGCGGTAAAATAAACTGATACAAGCACCTCAGGTGAGTCATTCTGGGTGCAAGAAACCAGACCCCAAAGGCCACCCACCATTCGATGCCATCTACACGATATTCTGCAAAAGCACAACTCTGGGGACAGATGCCGTGGTTGCCGGCTGAGATGGGGTGGGGTGGGGTGGGAGCCTGGGGGGAGCGATTGTCCTCTGCATCTTGACTGTGTGGATACATTTGCCAAAACTTGGAGAGCCATACACTGTGAAAGGTGTGTATTCGTGTATGGAAATTATACCTTAATAAAAATATGAAAGAAAAAAAGCCAACTAGTTTCGTGAGCTCATTGAAAGAGGGAGGGAGTGTCGCCAGCAGAGAGATGTGGGTGAGGGCCACATCTGGGCCACTCCACCATCCGGTGGCAAGAGAAAGAGAGCAACGCACACACGTCAGATGATTGAGAGGCATCTGATGGGGAGGAAAGGGGTTCGAACGGAGTCGGCTGCAGGTGTGCTAAGTGTGCCAGGCCCTCCTGGTGTGCGGCCACAGCACTGAGACTGTGAGGGGAGGTAAACAGAATGCCCTTGTTTTGCAGGTGAGAGAAAGTGAGTTGCCCTGAGCACACAGACCATAACAGTGGCAACGTGAGGAGGTCCCTGCTGTGTGCCCCGCACGGTTCCGAGGTTTCACAGGCAGGTTCAAGCTGAGGATATGAGAACCTGGCAGTTCCAGAGAAGTTGGGCCATAAAACTTTTCCATACCCCCGCCCCCCTTATGCAATGCCCAGCCGCTCCCCCTGTGGCTCTGAAATTGCTCCCGGCCTTGGGAAGGGCTCCCCAAGCTTATCTCAGGGGAGAGGGAAACTGTAAAAGCCTTTATGGCTTGAGATCATGTCTGGCAGGGGCAGTGATTGTCGCCATAAACCAGAGTGGGCCCTGCAAGGGCGATGGCCTGGGCCATGGGAGCCAGGGGGCAGTTGGGCAATGCCAAGGGGCCGCCACTGCCGAGCCAGGCAGTTGGGGCTTTTGGCCAGGCCGGTCACAGATTTACTTCATCCTCACACAATCCCCAGAGGCAGCAGCGATCGTGATGTTCTAAACATTCTATGCTGCACCCTCTTTCACATTAAGATATCTCTGAAGTTAGGGTGTGTCTTTAAATCAATGGCATTGCATCATTGTTGTCCGTTAGAGGGGGGTGGCAGTCTTTTTTTAAAAAAAAATATGTTTTTTGCCCTGGCCGGTTTGGCTCAGTGGATAGAGCGTCAGCCTGTGGATTGAAGGGTCCCAGGTTCGATTCCAGTCAAGGGCATGTACCTTGGTTGTGGGCACATCCCCCGTAGGGAATGTGCAAGAGACAGCTGATCAATGTTTCTCTCAATCAATGTTTCAAACTCTCTATCCCTCTCCCTTTCTCTCTGTAAAAAAATCAATAAAATATATATAGGTTTCAGAGAGGAAGGGAAGGGAGAGAGAGGTAGAAACATCAATGATGAAAGAGAATCATCAATTGGCTGCCTCCTGCATGCCACCCACTGGGGATCGAGCCCACAACCCTGGCATGTGCCCTGGCAGGGAAGTGAACTGTGACCTCCTGGTCCATAGGTCAGCACTCAACCACTGAGTCATGTTGTCTGGGCCCAGGTGGCAGTCTTGACCTGCTTGGTTCTGGTCATTATTTCCGGTGGCCTCACTAGACAAATGCACCCTCTGGGACTTAAGGATCACCTCAAAGGACTTAAGGATCATTTGAGGGAGAAACCTGAGTCCTGGTTACTTCCTGAAAATCTCCTGCTGATACCTTCTGATAAGAGGAAGTAAGTGTCAGGGTCAAACCTGCAGGTTAGGAGTAATAGGGTTGGAAGAAAATCTTGGAGGTCATTGTGGAGCAACGCTTTTGGTGGTATAGAGGACAATATTGCATAAAAAATATAGACAAGGAAGATTCTAAGTGGAAAAGGGATCTAGAGCATCTGGATGCTGACTGTGGTCAACTTAGCTAAATACAGGAGGCTGTGTAGCTATATGATCTTTGTTGCATCTACTTAAAGGTACCCTTATAGAGTAAAAGCAACCATAAGCAAATGTACGTGACTGGGCATGACTGAGTTCCAATGAAACTTTATTTATAAAAACAGGCAGCAGGCCAGACTTGGCCAGTGACTGTAGTTTACTGATCCCTGATATAAGTTATTGTTGTGTTTGG